TAAGACTCACAACTCCTCAAAAATACTATTACTAACAACTCATAAAATTGGAGTCCTCCGGAAGATATAGGAAGTCTTACTAACAAGCTGGCGAGCGGATAAAGTGATCTCAATGGACTCCTGTTGAGGATCCTAAGAACCTGTATCTGCATCATTAAAAGATGCAGGTCGAATAACATTAGTACATTGAATGTACGAGTATGTAATATAGCTGAATAACAAATAATTGAAAGAAAGGACTGCAATAAATAACAATGGACTCAAGCTGAATGTAAAGAGATAAAGGAGTTGAATCATTTAAAGCTTTTAAAAAAATACTTTCTCATCTCTGAACTCAAGATAATAAGTGATATAATAAAAATACACTTTTAACTCTTTTTGGGAGATTCTCTAATTAACAACCATCACTATGAGTTGCGTGATGATACAACGTCTCGCCCACACTGCCAAAATTGTCCTATATCTTGCCGGGGTATAGAAAACCTCAACTAAGTGGATCCACTAAGTTATGCTTAAAAGCAATAAGGAATCATATAAAAAGTATGACCTTTTACCCATGCTGGTATACATGGTTTATGGGGGTTGTGAGTTGTTTGAATTATCCCCTTATCGGTGCTCAATACTACTCCCAATAGTATATACTCATGCTCATATGTTTAAAAAAACATAACTCTTCCTCTAGTTTGAGATAATTTCTCAAACTACCCTCTTTAAAGAGGTAACTACTCTTGAAATAACTTTTAAACTCATAACTCATTCAGAAATCTCAGTTTCACTTTTATCAATGTAAAAATTGATGCATATGGGAATACATAGTCCCCTTGTACTCATACTTGAAAACTCTTTCTCAAAACATTTCAAAATCATATTATAATATGATCATTGATGACTCGAGAATTCATACTAAATAAACATTGATGGTATATAGAGATAACATACTTTTCATACATTGATGGCATACTCGATTGTCATACTAATCATGTTTTAGAAAACACTTTTCTCAAAATGCACCTTTACTTTTCAAAACTCAGTTTAAGAACCCAAGTGTTGGCTTTTAAAAACCCAATAATTCTTACATCAGCCTATTCCACATTGACAACTCAAATATACTGTCTAGGCACACATGGAAAATCATTAACTTAATTGGAACCTCGTCTCATTAAATACAATCTCGGGTACACCTCGTAATCTTGTTACTCTTATGACTTAGCCACACTTCATTGCTCTCATCTAAAAGTTAGAATCGCATACTTGTACCACTCACACATGTAAAAAGTAACACCTTAATTTCTTACCTACTCTATGTCAAATCTACTAGATTAGATCTCGAACTAACATCATCACCCTCATATTTCAATACTCTTTTACCACCGCTCTCATCCCAAATTCAAGCCTTATGTTTATTACTAAACCTGGATATCAATATGATTTCTCGCTTACTATACTAACTTACTACTACTAGATACAAATTAAGAAACACCCGCCCACTAAAATCTCATGACAAGTGGTCAATCTTTATCTCTCTGTTTACATACTTATGAATTATCCTCACATTCAATTTCACGACTTAAGTACTATTTACTCATTCACTATACATCATTGCCTAATTAGTTCTATAACCCTTTTAATATTATGGGCTTTCCCTTAAAGATCATAAGGCTAGCTTAGAGCTATCACCTCATGAATACTTATCCTCTTCTATTAAACACCAACACTTGGTCATTACTAACACAATGACAAATCATCATACTTTCTAGTTAAAGTATACTCTAACTCATCCTAACTAGTAATTATTTCTCTACCTTCTATCATGGACTCTATACAAAATTATTATCCATTAGTCTACTCATAAAGGAAAACTTATCATTAATAACTTATTGGTGCATGACTACAATAGAATAATTTGCCTCATCACTATCTCCTTTTCTTAGATTACTGAACCTTTGCATACTTTCCCCTAACTCTTGGCACTTCTACTACTACTGCTCATAATCTCGTAACTCATTATATTTTCAGGTGAAAATACTACCAAAACTCTAAAACATGCTTCCTCATAAGGGTCTTAACTGAACAATGTTTAGAGAAGAGAGTGTGGGAGTACGTATCACTTTTAGCTTGAACGGACGATTCACATGAATAAGAGTGCATTCTTTCGAATCACAACACTTAAGATCACTCACGGGATTCTCTCAAGCCCATCTATAGTCTCATGATTTTCTCAATATTTTTGTCGAGAGCAATTCATCGGTAATGATCCGACTCAGCTTTTTAAAAACCTTAAGTATGAAGGGTAGTCGAATGAATATGCAAAATGCATGAGTTTGAACAAGTTTCTTATGACACAGCTCTATTGCATGATTTTGAGTATGAAATAAGGGAATTTTTTCCTAAATGTCTGTAGTCCCTCATTTATAGACGTGGGGCACTCACAATCAGAAATAAGATCATACTTGACATGAATTCATAGACACCTTGAAACACTTAGACTCGATGTTCTGATACCAAATTTGTCATGATACGAGCCTACACCCTGGACGTGCCAGCACTCGAGAACCATTGTTGATCCCCAAGCGAACCCTCATCCTAGCAGACTACAAGCGAAAGACTAATTCAAACATATATAAGCATCAACTTGAAAGAAACATTTCAAAACAGTTTACTAAATCTCAAAACTTCACTGAATATACTAAGTATGAAACATAAGTTTTAAATAAAATATCTGAAACTGAAAGACTCTCCAAAACTGTCTATCTATGAAGCCTCTAATGTTTTCAAGTATGAGTGTTTAGATAAGACCCACGACACTTCAAAAGAACTACTAATAACAACTCATAAAACTAAAGTCCTTCAAAAGATAGGAGGTATTACTTAAAATCTAGCGAGCGGATAGAGTGATCTCAATGGACTCCTGTTGAGGATCTTAAGAACCTGTATGTGCATCATCAAAAGATGCAAGTCAAATGACATCAGTACATTGAATGTACTAGTATACAATATAATCAATAAAAAATAACAGAAAAAGGATTGTAATAGATAAAAATGGATGATGTACCATGAGTTTACGGTATTTTTGATGCGTTTCACTTAGAAGTTGTGTGTGTCTTGGGCCATATTGTATTAGAAATAATGTGTTTTCTATTATGTTTGTAGGAAATAAGCTTGGAATGCAGTTGATGGAGATGATAGCTGAAATTATGCAAAAGGAGCCACCCACGAAAGTGATCCACAGACCGTAGATCCTGTGAAGGACAGTCGTTGGGCAGTGTAGATGGAGTATCAGGGAATTATGATTAAGTGTGGAACTACGTAACAACTGACGGACCGTAGGTCAACCCATGGGCCGTTCTGCACATCCGTCGATGGATTCAGAGAGTTGAAGTTCCAGTACCTGATGGAAAAATACTAAGTATGGAGCCACGGAAGGGGACCTACGGACCGAGGTCAACCCATGGTCTGTAGGTCGAGTCATCGATTGATGCCGCGTACTAGACAACTTATTTCCCTATTTTGTTTCCTTTTTATTTAGGACTTGTTTTCTATAAATAGGAGTCATAAACCTCATTTATTGGGGTTATAAATTATTGTTTACTTTCAGTTCTTGGTAGTTTGTGGAATTAGCTTTCAAGTTTTGCAATTTGATTTCCGGATTTCGTTTTACAAGATTTTGACTTTGAAATTCAATTGGAGATTTCGGGTTTCTTCTACTCTAATAGTAAGTTCATGAATTCTTTTTACCCAATTATGAATTGTGTTCTTTCAAGCATGAGTAGCAAAATTCACAACTAGGGTTGTGGGAACCATGAACAATTAATAACTTATGAATAATAATTAAGTAATTCTTTAATAGTGTTTATGCATGTATTGGTAATTCTTTTGCTTAGAAGTCTTTTTAACGGTTGCAAACATTGGAACTCGCCTCGTTCCTACTTGCCAGACCAAGGAGGTAATGAATGAGAAAGGAATTAACAACAGAGATTTAGTGGATGTTATCTAATAGTCTAATGTCAATTGGTGCGAGGGTAAAAACTAAGCCATACATTGATGTGATGTCTAATCTGAGGTAAATGTAAGGGTTAGTAAAGTATACACTTGTAGCCGGACCAATGTGCGTAGTGAAATTCCCTATTTGGAGGACCAATCACTTAGGGATACCTAACTTACCAACTTTGCATGTAAAATACTAGGAAAATATTGATAACTTAAAGTTTAAATCCTGCTTACTTGTTACTTGATTACAAACCACCCCCCCCCCCCCTTATTTATTTGTCTCAGAAATAGTTGACTAAACGGAAATAATAGTGAGTTAAGTTTAAGTTTGAACCATATTTCTCATGGGATAGACCCCAACCTACAAGTTGGGTTCTTTATTTGACAACGATCGCTTATACTTCTTTAAGAAGGTGTAATTTAAGCGTATCAAATTTTGGCGCCACTGCCGGGGAATTTGGCTTTTAGATCAAGTTTAACTACATTATTGAAATTTAGTCAATTATTTCCTGATTTTATGTTTTTCTTTTATCTTCGTTTTCTACAGATTTCTACTATAGTGTATGCCAAGTACACGGAGTCGAGGCGAACCATTGACCCCCTACGATCCAGAGTTGAGAAAAAACATTGAGAAGAATGAATAATCAAGGGGTCCATAATAATCCAATCATTGAGGAACATGAAGATGGAGATGAAGTGTAGCCTCCTCAGTTGTTAATGTGAACGCTCAGGTACATGGTGGCAATGTACTCAGAGATGCATTAAGGGTACAGAATCCGTCAGAACCAAGGTTGCATGATAACTACAGGGTCAACTTCAATACAGTTGAATCAGAAGGACCTATTGTTCTCCCTCCTCTACCTCTAGGGCATACATTTGTGGTGACTAGCAGTCTGATGCAAATGCTTAGAGAAAGAGGGTTGTTTTTTGGTCTAGCTTCGACATATCTGCATGGTCACATGGCTAAATTGAGAAGTGTATGCAAGATTTATGTGGGATGATCGGAGCTGGATATGAATGTCATAGGTTTGAGAGTCTTCCCTCTATCATTGACCGGTGATGTTGTGCTGTTGTTTTCTGAGCTTCCATATAACTCGATTCATACATGGAACCAATTGCATAAGGTGTTCATGGCAAATTATTTCCCATTGTCTAAGAAGCTGAATCACAAGGACAAACTGAACAATTTTGTAGCACTACCTAGTGAGTCTGTAAGCAGTTCATGGGATAGGTTCACTTCATACATAAGAAGTATTCTAAATCACCGCATAGATGATGAGTCACTGAATGATTACTTCTACAGAGGTCAGGATGATAATGGAAAGGTTGTGCTTGATACTGTTGGTGGAGCATCATATGGTGAGTGCCCTTTTGAGGAGATCGCTGAGAAACTAGAGAATATTTCCCAAAATAATAAGGCATGGAGCACTAGAAAGTCAAACACTAGTAGAAGAACATTTGTAGTTCAAGTAGCACCTAGTCAATCCAGTGATGATATTCGTGAAAAGATAGCTCAAATGAGGACAAAACTGGGTTTGGTACTAAAGCGTGTGACCGGAGGTGCAGAGAAGGTGAATGCGGTAAACTATCTAACTAGAAATCCACCACCACCAGTTGAGGAATGCTACTATGAGGAGGATGGGTATTTGGTCAATGATCAGACGGGGGGAGGGGGGTTTCCAAACCAATGCCTAAGGTTCCAACTCGGATAATTGGCGCAAAGGTCAAGGAAACCAAGTGAACTATGGAAACTATAATCGAGAAGGAAACTATGTCCCAGATGGGAACTACAATCATGATAACAACTACAACCGAAACAACTATGGTAATAGGAATGACAGAGTTGGGCCCTATGTTCCACCTGGGAACAGGGAATCTGGTAATAGAGAAGCTGGGGGAAGTATGTCGCGCGTTGAGGATATGATTGAAAAGATGATGAAGAGCTTTGATGCTACTGATCAGAATGTGAAAGAGATGTGCACTGAGTTATCTGGGATTGGTCAAAAAGTTGATGCTCATGCAGTGTTAATAAAGAAACTTGAGCAGCAGTTTAGTGAGTTGTGTGCGACTGTGAATACACGCCAACAAGCACACTTTCTAGCAACACCATCCAGAATCCAAAAATTGATGGGCATTGTATGGAAATCAAGACTCGCAGAGAAAGCAAACTATTGATCTCCCTATTCCATCTGATGTGGGAAAAGTGGTAGAAACATATGAGGATGAGGTTAAGGTTACTGGAGAGACGAAAGATGTTGCAGAAAAGAACGCCAAGTTGAATCAGAAGGTTGTTCCCATGCCTAAACCTCCACCTTCGTTCCCACAGAGGTTAGTGAAGAAGACTGAAGAAGCAAAATACCGTAGGTTCATGACTATGTTGAAACAACTTTCCATTAATGTCCCGTTGATAGAAGTTTTGGAGAAAATGCCTGGGTATGCGAAATTCATGAAGGACTTGGTAACCAAAAAGAGGGCAGTGAGTATTGAGAGTGATGAGAGGTTGCAACATTGTAGTGCCATGTCCACGAGGTCACTGGTGCAAAAGAAAGAGGATTCTAGAGCTTTCACTATTCTTTGCACCATCGGTAAGATGCACTTTGCAAAGGCCTTATGTGATTTGGGTGCCACTATTAATTTGATGCTATTGTCGATTTATAAGAAATTGGGTTTAGGGGTGCCAAAGCCAACTGCAATGTGTTTACTTATGGCTGATAGAACTGTGATAAAGTCCATTAGAGTGCTGCAAGATGTCCTTGTGAAAGTGGGGTCATTCATTTTTCCTGCGAACTTTGTGATACTTGATTGCGAGGTTGACTTTGAGGTTCCCATTATCTTAGGGAGACCATTCCTTGCTGGTGGGCATGCCTTAGTTGATATGGAGAGAGGGCAGATGAAGTTCTGACTGAATAAGGAGGAGGTGACCTTTAACATCTGTGGGTCTATGAAGTAGGAGAGTGATCTTAAATCGGTCTACGTGGTGAGTCACATTGTGGGATAAGGTGCTGAATTGTCTAGTAAGGAGACATTAGGTGAAACCCTGTTCTAAGATAAAATTCACCATGATCAAAAGACATAAAAGCGCAAACTAACTCCTGGTGATCTGGTGTTGTTATTTGACTTAAGGTTGCACTGGTTTCTTGGCAGATTCAAGTCCCAGTGGACTGGACCATTCAGAGTGACCCAAGAGTTTCCACATGGAGTGGTTGAGCTCAAGAAAAGGAAGGGGACAAAGTTCAAGGCCAACCACCAGAGGATGAAAAGTTATATGGGAGATTCTGAGAGTGTCAATGCATTGATAGAGGCATGGCACGTTGATGAAGTCCGAGTAATCAAGGGATCTGCATCGTGCCACGACATTTAATCAAGCGCTGCTTGGGAGAAAATCCAAGATGTACAATCTAGCCAACTATAGGTTTTTCTTTTTGATATAGGAGTTTTCTTCTTTTATTTTGATTTTCGTATCTCTTTAGATAGGTGTTTTATGTTTGTTTTAGTGTGGCTAGATATAGAATATGGTCCGTGTCTAAAAAGTGTCCAGAAAATGTAAAAAGAAAGTCTTAATGGTTGCTATATGTGCAGGGGCGAAAGGCAAAATCCATAGAAAAACAGATGTACAGAAGTCTATGGACCCTATCGACGGTCCATTGGTCAATCCACGGACCACGAATGGCGTCTGTAGATCCCAGGTAAGTTCCCAAATTTTCTAAGTGTCAGAGTGACCTACAGACCAGACCTACGGTCCATAGGTCAACCCACGGACCGTCGATGGGGTCTCATGGGTCCAAACATAGGGTACTGGCGACCCGACCCGGACCTCTTTTAAATAAAAAACCCTTAATTTAAAACTTCCCCCACTTCCATAATTCCCTCCTAACCATTTCTACCTTTCCATATAACCACTATAGTCCTTTCATATCCCTTATATCATTACACTAAGCATCCCAGATATCACATATCTCCTCTCTCTTCAAAAAAACTCATTCCACCCCACTTATTTCCCCTCACATCAATTTCTCGTTCCGGGTTTGGTGTCCAAGTTGGTCTAGGAGTCTTTGCAATCAATCACACACTCACCATTGTTGCGTACTTGTAAGGTATGATGATTTCCCATAAACTTTGAGTATTTCATGGTTTCAATTGAAGTCACAACAATGAACTCAACCTTGGGTTAAGCAATTACTGGTGCAAAATCGTGTGTCCCCTACTTAGGCGAAAAATGTTGTCATATGGGACCGAGCAGTGATGGAGACTTTGCCTGCATATTGATAGCAGAGATCCATGAGGGGCCTTCAAGGCCACCACGCTTGCCCTTCCCATGCCTCATCTTCCAACTATGCAAAGATTCATCTATACCAGTATGACATTATGACTGGTTGCTTCATGCAACCAAAACTCTTGATATCAGGCTTATTCGGAATGACTCCAATTTAGTTGCACCTCATAAGGAGCCACATATTGAGGTATTACCATTGGGAGATCTTGCTGCAGATGTGGAGCAGATGCAGGTTGATGACACTGCCCTTACAGTGGATGCCCAGGCTCATCCGTCTTCGGCTACAGTCAGTCCCCTAGCTCCTCTCGAGCCACGCCCCCCTTTCGAGTCCACTCTTGTTCCTCTAGCCCAACTTTAGAAGATGGAGAATCAGATGGCCACATTACTGCAACATGTGAAGCCATGGGTGCAACGCTCTATTGCGAAGTGCAAGGCCAAGATAGAGCACATGATTGATCAGAAGGTTCAGGCCATTCATAAGCACCTTGATGCTTTTGAGGAGAGAGTTTTGGAGATGCCAGCCCCGACCGTTGATGTGATCACTTTCCAACAGGAGTTGGTTAGCCCCCGTGCTAATTTTGATGCACTTCTACTCCTCCCCCCTTGAGATTGAGCTAGATTTTGCCCCTATATTTGTGGAGGATGATGTGGTGTTGATAACCTTATTCGACAATGTTATACCGCCACCAAATTCCTCCCGTGCTGCTGGGAAGCACCACCGCTCCGATCATACTCCTGATGATGCAGAGGCTCAGAGATTGAGAAAGAAGGAGTCCTAGCAGTTGGAGGAGGCCACGAAGGCATCGCTACTGGATGAGGAGATGAGACAGCAGCGGGCCAGAGAGATAGTTGTTGGCCCATCTGGCAGTGTGAGCACTACTGAGGGTGGTGGGATAGTTGATGAGAGCTCTACTGATGGTGTTCCTAGAGTTGATCTAGCAGGCTCCAGGAAACCGAACCCACCCGCTTCTTGAGAGGTCTTCGACGCATATGCGCCACAGGTTTGCTTCACCCTACATTTTACTTTTGATTTTTATGCATTGGGGACAATTGCACCTTATTTTGTTAGGGTGGGGTAAATAGATTGTGAGTGATATGGTAAAGTCTGAGTAACCCAGCTCATAATGCTCTCTTTGGGTTTTCTTGCTTGTGTTCTTTTCCCCCAAGAAATTGCTTTAGTTTATGTTGAACCGGCATGTTTAGGAATGTATGTGTAGAAGTAAAAAAGAATGAATGCATGATGGCATAAAAGAATTAAAAAAATTGAGTCCCGTCCAAAAAGTTTGAAATGTGCTAGATCTATAGGCTTGATAGGTTGAATGTGATGGATCTCAATATGACATGATAAGGAACCGATTTGACCTCATGACTTAAGCTAATCTTGAACTGGGTAATCGAGTAATCTGATAAAGAAAGAATGTGCCAAGTGTGTGAGAGAAAAGCTTGAATATTCATACAGTTTGTGCCAATCTAGAAATTGCCCCATTGGTCTTGCCAAGAGAATCTAGGCTAGAAATTGGGAAATTATCATAGGCCATTGTTCAAATAAGTCCACTCAAGACTAAAATGATCCAACCAAATGAAATAAATGTTCCCTATGATTCAAATGTTTGAGCCTAATATAGACCACTTCTTTCAATTAACCTAACTCACCTACCCTAAAAAAATTGTTTTGGCCCCGGTCCCTCCTTGGACATGTGCACCTTGAATTAGGCCAAAAGACTAAGTTAAGGTTGGCTAATTCAGAAAGTTACCTTGATCTTGGCCTTGGTCCGACATCGGATATTGTGCACCTCAACTCATGCAAAATACATAAGTTGAGGGTGGCTATGAATGAGGAAACCAAAAGAAAAAGGGTATGAAAAGAGTTTTGTGTTGAAGAGAGAAAAAGAAAAGATAGAAGAAGACGTGACTTTGTGCAAAAGAAGCAAAAGATGAATAACAAAAGTGCTGAAAGAAATAAAGAAAAAAAAGTGAAACAAAAAGAAGAAAAGTGAAAAATATGAGCTATAAAGTCAAAATTCACATCTATGTGAAAAGAGTCAAGGGAAAGAAAAGAAAATAAAAAGATGTCAAGAATTGTTTGAGAAAAGAGGTAAAAAGCCAATGTAATGTCAAGGAGGGTAGAAAGTTACTAAAAAGTACCCAAATCTATCCTACCTGACCCTGAGCCTACATTACAAGCTAACAAAGTCCTATAGTTATCCTAGCAACTAGTTTAGAAAGTCTAAGCAGTGAAAATAAGGGAAAGCCTATGGTATTGAACACGAATTGTGCTTGAAGTCACTTCTGAGTGTGAGTGTTGAATGAATCCTAAAAAATTGAAAGGCATATCTATTGTGTGTGAAAAAGGATTTCTTTTGAAGTGACGGCACTAGTTACATTGTTGGAGAACTGCTACCTTGGTGATTGTGAAAGGTGTATGTTGTGATGTCTGTGGGTAGATCTATGTCATGTTTTGATCCGTATGAGTTACCTTGTTGATTCTAAATGAGGAGGTTTTCACTAAGGAGATTGGATGGATTGAAAAGGCCATGTGATTGCTTGAGTTTGGATGTATGCTTCTACACAAGTGTCGTTTAGAGTTTTAGTGTATCGCTTGAGGACAAACAACAAGTTTAAGTTGAGGGTGCTGATGTACCGTGAGTTTACGATATTTTTGATGCGCTTCACTTGGAAGTTGTGTGTGTCTAGGGCCATATTGTATTAGAAATAATGTGATTTGTATTATGTTTGGAGGAAATACGCTTGGAATGCAGTTAATGGAGATTATAGAAGAAATTATGCAGAAGGAGCCACCCACGAAAGTAATCCACGGACCGTAGGTCCTATGATGGACCATCGTTGGTCAGAGTAGATGGAGCATCAGGGAATTCTAACTAAGAGTGGAACTACGGAGTAACTGACGGTCCGTAGGTCGACCTACGGGTCGTCCTGCACATCTATCAATGTATTTAGAGAGTTGACGTTCTAGTACCTGATTGAAAAATCCTAAGTATGGAGCCACAGAAGGAGACCAATGGACCGTAGGTCGAGTCGTCGATTGATGTCGCGTTCCAGACAACTTATTTCCTTCTTTTGTTGCCTTTTTATTTAGGACTTGTTTTCTATAAATAGGAGTGATAAACCTCATTTTTAAGAGATAGACATTATTGTTTACTTTGAGTCTTGGTATTTTGTGGAATTAACTTGCAACTTTAGTAATTTGATTTCTGAATTTCGTTTTACAAGATTTTGACTTTGAAATTCAATTGGAGATTTCGGGTTTCTTCTACTCTAATTAATCGTAATTTCATGAATTCTTTTTACCCAATTATGAATGATGTTCTCTCAAGCATAAGTAGCTAAATCCACAACTAGGGTTGTGGGAACCATGAGCAATTAACAACGTATGAATAATAATTAAGTAATTCTTGAATAGTGTTTATGCATGTATTGGCAATTATTTTGCTTAGAATTCTTTTTAACGGTTGCAAACGTTAGAACTCCCCTCGTTTCTACTTGCCGGACAAAGGAGGTAATGAATGAGAAAAGAATTAACAACAGAGATTTAGTGGATGCTATCTAATAGTCTAACGTCAATTGGTGTGAGGGTGAAAACTAAGTCATACATTGATTTGATGTCTAATTTGAGGTAAAGGTAAAGGTAAAGGTTAGTAAAGTATACACTCGTAGTCGGACCAAGGTGCGTAGTGAAATTCCCTATATAGAGGACCAATCACTTAAGGATGCCTAACTTACCAACTTTGCATGTAAAACACTAGGAAAGGATTATTATTGTTAGGATTACTGCGTTAAGAGCTTGTGGGGAACATACACACCCTAGTTTCTCTCTCATAGTGATAACTTAAAGTTTGAATCCTTCTTACTTGTTACTTGATCAACAATTTCTTACTCGATTACAAGCCCCCCCTTTATTTATTTGTCTCAAAAATAGTTTGACTAAACGGAAATAATAGTGAGTTAAGTTTAAGTCTGAACCATATTCCTCGTGGGATCGACCCCAACCTACAAGTTGGGTTCTTTATTTAACAACGATCGCTTATACTTCTTTAGGGAGGTGTAATTTAAGTGTATCAATGGACTCAAGCTAAATGTAAATTATTAGGGAGTTAAATTATATAAATCTTTTTTAAAAAAATACTTTATTATCTTTGAACTCAACATATTAAGTGATATAATAAAAATATACTTTTAACTCTACTTGGGAGATTCTCTAACCGACAACCATCACTATGAGCTACGTTATGATACAACGTCTCGCCCATGCTGCCAGAATTGTCCTATACCTTGTCGGGGTGTAGAATACCTTAACTAAGTGAATCCACTAAGCTATACTTAAAACCAATAAGAAATCAAAGTATGACCCTTTTCCCATGTTGGCATACATGGAATATGGGGGCTTTGATTTGTTTGAACTCTCCCCATATCGGTGCTCAATACTATTCCAAATAATATATATTCATGCTCATATGTTTTAAAAAAAATATAACTCTTCCTCTAGTTTGAGTTAATTGCTCAAACTACCCTCTTTAAAGAGGTAACTACTCTTGAAATAACTTTTAAACTCATAACTCATTTAGAAATATCAGTTTCTCTTTTATCAATGTAAAAATTGATGCCTCTGGGAATACATAGTCCCTTATACTCATACTTGAAAATTCTTTCTCAAAATATTTTAAAATCATATTATAATATATTCATTGATGTCTCGAGAAGTCATACTGCAAAAACATTGACGATATATCTAGATACCATACTGCTCATACATTGATGGCATACTCGATTTTCATAATATTCATGTCTTAGAAAACTCTTTTCTCAAAATTCATCTTTACTTTCTTAAAACTCAGTTTAAAAACTCAAGTGTTGGCTTTAAAATATAACGACCTGATTTCCGTCGTTATGGAAAAGCCAATGAGGAAAGAATTGGGGCCAGAAAACTTTTTCGTAGTAACTTGAGATTTCCTAGACTAGTCCAGATTTGGACAAAATCGGAGTCAGTGAGATCTAGGAAAATCTCATAACAAATGAGTGATCTATTATTGAATTTGATTACATGAGTGGATAGTTAAGATGTTAAGGAACCCGTATGACTTTATGGAATTGAATTCGGGTGAGTAGAACTCTCGAAACTGATCTTAGCGTGATCGGGTATTTTCTGAGTGTCATGGGATGAAGATGTGTTGTGAAATGGGAGTTTGGAATTCTTATATTTGCTCACTGTTTTCATGCAACCCGCCAGAGCGGGATAGTGCCGCCAGGGTAGGGCCACTGTGACGGGTTGAGTCCAGCCATAGCGGGGCAGACGCTACTTAAATCGGAAATAAAACCCCAAAACGTCTTTATTTTGCACTT